CTGAATATTCTTACTAATAAACAGCCTCCTAAAATCCATCCATTTACATATTGTTTTTAGGGCTACATGGGGGCTTCCTTAGGGATTATTAAAGTATTAATATTATTCTTAAAGTATTCTGATTCTGATTGAGCCTAAATGAGCCTTGACAGGTCACCAGTGTATATTTCAGACAGACACACACTCACAATCTGCTAAATCTAAAGACCCAGTGTAAACCAATTAGGAATCATCAGTTACCTTCAACAGCTTGTCTGAACTGCATGAGGAGCCAGACTACTTGGAGAGAACCTGTGCAGGCAAATGGGAGAACTTACAAACTCCATGCAGAAGACACACCGAGTCAAACAGGCGGTTTAACCTTAATCTTAGTCTTTTATCAGTTGCATTTCAACCAAAGTAAAACACTCTTGGCTTACAGAGTTTGCACCGCATGGTATTATTCAGTGGTATTACCAACATACACCTCGATGAATGTATTAAATATACTCTCTCAGGAAAGAATATTTATTTTGCTTAGAACATATTTCCAGGATAAAAGTAGGTGCAAATGTGGTACTTATAGATTATTTTAAATTGAAACTCTGAATGGAACATCAGGGATTTTCCAGATGAGGTTGTGTTTTTAGCATAAGCCAATGAAAGCTCATCAAACTGACTGTATTGATTGGTTATTTTATGTGATAAAAAGCCTACCAATAGGCACTAATTCGTTTTCTGGCTTCTGTTCTGTTTGCTCGCTATTTGTAAAATAGATTTGGGAGGCATGTATAATCTTGTGTCAACCCTACAGGCTCTTTACACTTTTATATCTGTACTACACTGGTTCATTTGATCCAAGTCAAAGGCTTGCACATGCAGGGAGCCGGTTTGGCTCTGTGGGTGAGCTGGTGACCATATGCCACACAAATGGAGTGCAGCAGCCTGGGTTCGGGTTTAACGTGTGGCCCTTTTCTGCATGTCTTCCTCTTGTTTATCTCCCTGTTTTCCCACCTGGTCAACATGGCCAAGCTTTCTTTGCTTTACCTGATTCACAAAACCTAAAAGTGGCTCAAAGCCATGCTTTTAAACCAGGCTTGCTGCCTCAGGATTTGTGCACTGTCACATATACAGTGAGTGGGCATTTGACATGTCATTTCACTCATCCTTTGCACAGAATTGACAGATTGAATGTTGTCTGCTGCACTGAGTGAAATCGTTAGAGCAATCGATGAGAAAGTTGAATAAAGAACATGAAAAATAAAATGGTAAAAGGCGATAAGAGTTTTGTGCCTGCAATTACATCAGTTAGTGGTGTTGCAAAAGAACCATTAATCTTCTGAATTATTGAGTTAATATATTTATTTTATGGCTTGTGACTGCTGTTCACCAGTCCATTACAGATCTGAAACTTGAAACATATTTAGACATTTAGGACTTCTCAGTCCATTCCTCTGTGGCATTTTCCATGGCAATCACTTCTGTCTGTTGCCAGATTAAGGTGAAACTAATATTATTTATGTTCTTTGTCACAAGTAACCTACTAATAGACTAGTTAGCTATAGTTATACATTAAGAAAACATACAGTTTGCATGTTGTAAATTTACCGCATGGCTTTCTTCCTCCTCAGGTATGAAGCATATGAACCGACAGAAAACAGCAAAAATCCTGAACATAAACAGCTCCAGACGAGGTTGTGTGTTCAGCACAAGTTACTATGGTGATCTTGCTAGATTAAAAGAAATCACATATATGACAAAGACAATTCTGGCTTTAGGGTCAACCTGAGCCAGTAACGTGTTCTTTTAGTACATCCATCAAACTGCTTTGTGTTAGCAACTCTAACTCTTTTACGGATACAGAGCTCACTTATTCTTATTATACACATGTTCTATACATGCACAGCATTGCATTGCTTTCCAAAGGAAGACATGATCTTCTTTGCCCAATATTTGGACAAATTATTGCACATTTTTCTGTGTATTTGTGCAAACACAAATATTCAGATTAACTCAATCATTCTTCATATTGTATTCTCTAGCAAGATTTCTCCATATGGAAACACCACTAGCCCCTTTAACTAAGTAATCATCCAAGTCTTGACCTTTTTTCTAATTGTTTACCTATTTTAGAGGTCAAGGGCGTCAAATCCAATTTCACAAATGGCAACAGTGGAAAGTGAAAATCACATTAAAGCCCATCTCAGCCTCGCCTCTCAAACTTTATCTCAAAAGCCACTGAGCCATCAGTCTGATGTATTCAGACTTGTCCATCCTGGTCACTCGCAGTGAAAATCTTAACATCTTCCACTCTGCCACCTCCAGTCTTTTAGTCAGTGCCACCATCTCCGAACCATACATCAGAGGAAGTCACACTGCCATCTTGTACCACATTAAAGGCTCAGCATATATCATTTCTTAATACATGTCCCATATGCTTATATAAGACTGAATAAAACTACTTAAGGGGCATTTACCCCGCCCCTCCCTGAGCCTGGTTCTGCCGGAGGTTTCTTCCTGTTAAAACGGAGTTTTTCCTTCCCACTGTCGCCAAAGTGCTTGCCCATAGGGGGTCATATGATTGTTGCTTTTCTTTCTGTATGTGTTATTGTAGGGTCTACCTTACAATATAAAGCGATTTGAGGCAACTGTTGTTGTGATTTGGTGCTATATAAATAAAACTGAATTGAATTGAATAGTGATGATTTGCCACACCATTAACAGTTAATAATGTAATCTCAAATTAAGCGCTTGAATTCAGTGAATTTAAGCGCTTGTAGGGTCTACCTTGAGGTGACTGTTGAACAGAATAACAAATCTTTGTTTTTGTTCTCGCATATGTTTCTTCTAGTCTTACATAATCTGTTTTACTGGTCTGAACGTGACATGTGGACTCTACAGTGGGTAGACTGGCCAAAATTCATGCACTTTTTAACCACAATTGTAGAATAAGTAATTTTTTAAAGATTTGTTAGTGGCAGGTGTTCAGCAGATAATAGTCCAAGTTGCAGAGCAGAAGAGTGTATTCACACCTACAGTGCATCGATCTGTGCGGTGTGAATACACTGTTGTTTTTGCAAGTGGAATGAAACAAGCTCTTTAATCCCACCCACTTTTGAATTATGCTGCATCAGCTTTAAATGGAAGCCTGCAGAATTTGGCAACACAATGCTGCCATAATAGCGTGATTTATTTGTGGTAGCCATTAAAATATGGTACTATGTCAGCTAC